ATAACTATATAAACAATCCACTGTGTACAAAATCATCTCTTTCCCTCTAACACAAACATGCAAGAGTCAAATGATCAATGCTGCCAGTCTACACTTTGTAAGCATATTTCACACTGGTTCTCAGAAACACACACCAAGTGAGCTTGAAATTAAATCACAAGATAAGTAGAGATGCAGCTGTTTTTATGCAACAGAAATTTTTAACTCACTTTCCTTCTATATCTATCAATTTTCATCTATTAGCAGCTTTAAAATATTATATTTTTACTTTAGCATCTCAGGAGAAGGCAGACTAGTCATGTGTGAGTGTGGGGGATGGACAGAGAGAGAGACAGAGAGAGAGGGAGATGCACATCTACCCAAGATAAAGTAAATATTCAACTTCTTTTTTTGTGCATTGATGTAAACTTATGAATATAGTCACTAAGTCAGTAACTCACTGTAGTTTTTCTAGTTTACAGTGTGAATCCTTCAGTAGATCAGAGAGCAGCTTCACTCCAGAGTCTCCTGGTTTATTATAATCTAGCTTCAGCTCTCTCAAATGTGAGGGGTTTGATTTCAGAGCTGAAAACAGAGCAGCACATCCTTCTTCACTAATACTGCATTTACACAGCCTGCAGAGAAAAGGAGAAAATGTATTCTTACTTACAGCCTTTACAAACAAACACACAGATAAACAAACAAAAACGAATATCACATAATAAACTAAAATAAGATAACTACAACTACATTAACAATATGCACACAAAAACAAAAATAGCAAAGTAGGGTCAAGGAGACAAACATACAATGAATTCATATTTTACAGTATATGTGAGATTGAGATCTATGTATGTGTAGGAAAGCCAGAGACAGGGGGTGTGACTGTGAATTGGTTTGTTTGAGCATCTATGCATAGCCCTTTTTAACAGTTTACTACAATGTGAGCTACAATGAAAAATAGATTATCTCACCTCAGCATTTCCAGTTTACAGCATGGATTCTCCAGTCCAGCAGAGAGCAGCTTCACTCCTGAATCCTGCAGATCATTTTCACTCAGGTCCATTTCTTTCAGACTTGTGGTGTTTGAACTGAGAGCTGAGGCCAGAACTGCACGGCTTTTATCTTTTAAATTACAACCACACAGTCTGAGGGAGAATTATAACATCTTTTGTACAGGCTGCATTTTGTGTCTTATTTTTACAAATATATTCAATTTAATTCAGCATGTTACAGTGCATCAGAACAACCACACACACACACACACACACACATACTCATGTAGACTAAAGATACAAAGCACATACTAGGTCAGGAAAAAACATATATTTATATATGACTAAAAGTTTTCACTTGTATTCCATGTGACAAATATGTCTTTACAGCCAGGGGTGTTTTAACCTGCTTGTGAGCCCTGGGGCTACAGGTGTTTATGGGCCCTATGCGTCTAGTTATAGTGTTCAGTTCTGTGTTCAACAACAAACAACTTTTTTTAATGAAGGTGCACACACCACCACCACCAGTTAGGAACTTCCAGCACAAAGCTTAAATTAAAGCTTCCAGCATATTAAATTGTGCCATTATATGTAATACCAAAGCTTTTATTAGCTATGAAGGGGAGAACATGCCTAAACTGCACATTAAGGAGAGTACAAACAATTCCCACAATACCCTGACAGGAACTCCAGGAATGCCATTAGAGTCAATTAAAAACATAGGAAGGGGTAGAACAAAAGACAAGTCCCCACCAAATATGTAGTGTAGTGAGCAGTAAATTAAACTCAATGCAAGGTCACTAAGTAACAAAAAACTTCTGATTCAAGATCTCATTAAAGTGTATAAGCTTGATTTTGTTTCTAATGGAGACACAGCTAAATGGAAATGGCACAGCAATTTTACTTGAAGCTGCTCTTGAAAACTACAGAATTGTGCATTCAGTAAGACAGACAGGTGCAGGGCAGGTGAGAAAAATGACTGCCATGTATTTGCAATTAACCTTTTTAGTGACACTACTGTATTATTAATTTCAATATGTAGTCTTCTCAAGTGATTTTTTTTCTTATTATTAGTTATTTAGAAAATCCCAGCAGGTTTTTCTTCTAATCTGAGACCGCATTTATATTGTGAATGACCTCAGGCTTTGTGGTGATGCACAAATCCTTTTATTTTGGTCTTTTTGGATCTTAGTGCAGCTTCTCTTACTGTCTTGATGGTTGAGTGGGCTACTCAGGCACAGTTATAGAATGGTTTAAATTATATATGCATAGACAGTTCTTGATTTCACTGGGAAATCATTCATCAAAAATGTAACATTTCTTGTGGAGTCCCACAGTTTTAGAGCTTTGCTTTTCTCTTTGTACATGTTACATGTCTCAGAGAGATGCAGAGAAACTTGTTAATGTATTATACAAGCAGAGATGATTACTGTAATGCTCTTTTTAGTGGCCTCCCTAAGAAAACAATACAGTCTTTTCAACTTTTACAAAATGCAGCAGCATGGATCCTAACAAAAACAAAAATAGATCCTGTATACCTCTCATTTTGAAAGAACTGCACTGGTTATGTGTACCTTCTACTACTAGTTTTTAAGTTTCTAAATGACTTCAAAGCACCCACTTACCTCACAGAATGACTGTCTGTTTATGTTTCAATATGTGATATGTGATAAACCAATTTCACCTTTTGTTGTAAAAGAGCACTGTAGTTACCAAATTTGCAAAAAAAAAAAAAAAGATCACTTTTTTTCTGCTTTGGATGAGTAGTAAATAACATACTCTACAGGACACTTTTAAACATCCCCATTTGCATTTTAACCGCAACTGGAGTTTCAAATTCAAAAACTGGCACATTGATATGAACTGAATGTTTGAGGCTATGGGAGATGGCAGCGATTACTAAGCAGTGATTGGAGGGCTGAGATAAGAAGGCAGTTTTGTGGAAAGTGTAATTATTTGATTGGCCATAATATAGTGACAGTTCTGACAAAAAATAAATCAAATGTAATTATCCTAAAATATTCCGCTTAATTAATATTTTTTTCTGCATTTGAATGAGTAGGCCCAGGGAGATAAATCTCATTTAAAAAAAGTCCAATCAGAGGTCCCTAGGTTATTGGGAACCCTGGGCTTTGCCCAAGGTAAGGCCCTGCATTAAATCACCTCTTTCTACAGCCATCAACAAGCTGAAATAAAACAGTAATAGAAATTGTCAATAGATGGGAAGATACCTTCAAAATGTGTTTATGTTTTTGCATTGAAAGTGGAGAAAGCAATAATCTCACCTCAGTATCTCAAATTTACAATGTGCATTTCCCAGCCCAGTAAAGAGCAACTCCACTCCTGAATCCTGCAGCAGCTCATTGTTACTCAGATCTAGTTCTCTCAGATTTGAGGAGCTTGACCTGAGAGCCGAGGCCAGAGCTGCACAGCTTTCTTCTGTAAGATCACAACTAAAAAGCCTGGGAGAAAATAAATGTTCAGAAACATTGCCATTTCAAGCATACACACAAACACATTATGTAATCAGGGTGTGTGAGTAACTCATAGCACTGCACACACTTCAATAGAGTAATTTTCCCATTGGCCAATCAAAACAAGAAGGAAACTAAATTTTCCTCTTCAAAGGTGAGTGAGCAATTCAGAATGCATAAAAGTGTTTTTATTGTGTAGAAATGCATTTTTCTTCTGGCAGAGAAAAAAACAGGACTTGGTATTTTTGTATCAAAAAAGCTGTAGATGTGCTGTCCATTTTGCAATCTGTAAAATGCAGAAGGTTTTCACAGTAGGAAGTTCTCACAGTTCCCCTTTCAACCCTCTTTGCTTACAGCTGAACACAGAGTTTCACCATCAGTGTTATAGTTAATCTGATGCTATTTAATTGTATTAATTAAAATATTAAAGTAGATTTCCATTTTCATTGACAGAATAGCCACTAGGGGTCATGCAGAAAGAGACTACACCTTAAACCTAGGTTTATTTCTGAAGAAAATGATATTTATTAATATTAAAAATAAAGAAATACACAGATGACAAGCACTCCATCTTGTATTTTACTGTATTTAGTATTTTACTAATTACTACTGTAATTAGTAGTAATGTGTGTATTGTCTTTGACTTGTTTCAATGTGTTTAAGCTATTGTTTTACATCTCTGTAAGTCAGCAACTCACTGTAGTTTCTCTACTTTGCAGAGTGGATCTGCCAGTATATCAGAGATCAGCTTCACTTCTGAGTTTCCTAGTTTATTCCAGTTCAGATTGAGCTCTCTCAGGTATGAGGGGTTTGATTTCAGAGCTAAAACCAGAGAAGTACAGCCTTCCTCTGTACAACTACAACATTGCAGCCTGCAGAGAGAAGGAGAAAAACACAGCAAAAAGAATAATAACTACATAACTACATAAATTATAAAGGAAATAATGTATTTCTTACCCACACACAAAACACCAAGTGAATCAACATTCTCAGTCAATATTCTATATGTATTATATATCTATCCCTCTCACTCTACTATATAATCTTGCAAAAAAATAGATTGGTCTTAATTGGGCTATAATGTAACATTTTAGATCAGATGTGAAATGAAAAGGTTCATGTAGGTTATACCTTGTTTAGAATCATTAGTGCATGTTTTGCTTTAACACAGGGGACCATATAGCTGGGGCTTCCTAATCCATCATGTGATTTCAGTATTAAGTAAATCCATACGTACATCCTGTATAGCATTTGTTACATACTTTTTTGGGTCACTTTTAACCCAAGAGCAACACAAAGGTAATCAGACAGGACTGAAAGGAATAGCCTTCTTTTTCATCTTTTTTCAGGCTGAGACTTTTGGACTTAAAAATACTTAAAAGTTTAAATTTAAAGTAGTAATAGTTTTACTGTGTATAAAATTTAAATAAATAAATGTGAGAATGATATTTGTGTAGTTATCTGCTCTTCTAAAGGGTAAGATGAAAAAGACATCTTTACATTTTCTTTTTCTACACAGAGTTGACATTATACCTACCTAAACTCGGCAGAACTTTTACCCTCTCTGAAGTGTAACTGATTGCCCAATGACAGGTCACTCTTTGTGGACACACAGCTGGGTTCAGGTGAGTCTGATCTCTTTTCTGAATTCAGACTAAAATAAAAAAAAGCATTATCGAACAAGATAGGTTGGTACTGACGAATGTGAAAACTTTTATGCTGACCACAAAGCCCCCTACTGCCTCACCTCTCGATTTTCTTTGCATCTTGTTTCCTCAAGGCCATTTTTGAGGAAATTTGTCATCTAACAGATATGACCCATGAACCTTCAAACACAGAAAAATTAACAATGTAGATAATTCACCTTGGTGCAAAGCAGCAGTACTGCTATGGGTAATCAATGAAGAAATGGAACTGGTCTGTGATTTCCATTTTCTGTTCTCAAAATATAAAAAAATTCTGTTTAGAATTCTCACAGTTTTATTAGACACTAATTTCTGGCTTTCTTTATTGCTCTAAAAGTCATAAAACATATAGATACTAAACTGTATGGATGTTAATCAATCTGTACAATACTGCTATAGATCTCCAGCTATCTTTGACATTTTTTAATTTCCAGGAAAAAAAATCTTTGCAAAATAAATCAATCAAACCAGTCTGTTTAGCAATGTTTATAATGGATATTTCGTATAGATGTTACCTGTTAAGCAAATTACTTCCTTAGGTTTTTATACAAAAGTTTCAGTTTGTGTTGTACAGTGCAACAAAAAAGCAGCACCAGCTGGCTGAAAACAGCAGCACCAACCAGCTACATAATAACCATAGCTGGTACATAGTAGCGACAGACTCATAGAAGGAAGTTGTGATTTTTAGAGTGAGTGCCTTACAATCTTGATGCATCATGTATAGGAAAAAAAGCCTCAACTAAAATGACCAAAAAACACATGCAACACATGCATTTTGGATTCAAGGACATATATTGTACTTTAGTTTTTCTTGGCAGGGGGGGTGTTCTGCAATATGCATGAGGCTGTGATTGACTAACTTGGCAAAGTTCAACAGAGAAAACTGAAAGTTCATTCTCACTCTAAAACAAACCAAAATATCTTGGTAATCTTGGTTCTTTCACATTCTCTTACGTTCTAAATATAAACCAGATACCCATGACGCACAAACTCCACAATACTAGATTAAGATTGGTAACATGGTAGTAAGTACCAAGAGAGTGTATTAAAATAAACTAACTAACAGTGTCTCGCTATATAGCTGATAAAAGATCTAATGAAATATACTAAAATTATTTAGAGTAATAAGGTTCTACCTGCTAATATTTTACTGTAGTGTTTCATTTTTAAGCATAAAAGTTAATCTGTAACACCTCCAATCACTGGGTAGCTATATGGCTTAAAATGATAGCACAAAGTACAAAGTACTTAGTTTTCTGACGTAAATGGAAAGAACCCCGTAAACTATAATAAGAATGACTGCTTTCTTTTACAGTCCAGAATTAGTTTTGTTTATAGGTAATAAACTGGTTCACATTCTTTGTGTAAGACTCTTTGTATTTTGTGCACAATACCTTAAACTATCAAATACTTTTGACCCAAAATAATTACAAGCTACTGTGGAGTAAGTACAGCCCACTTATCTGGTTAAGTCTAGAACTTAAGGGACTGTTAAAATAAAGCATTACCAATACATTTTTTTTCCCACACAGATGTTGTTTCTCACTACATATAACTATATAGCCTGTCTGACATGGCCATAAATGGTAAAATACATGTAATGTGTACACCATTCACAAACACTTCTGGAAATTAATACTGCCCATGAGCACTGTATATACTCCTAGTGCTGAAGTCTGGGAAAAAAGACTATATTAAATAAAATGTTGTACAGTATTTGACCTATTTTGTGGCTTACACCACAATACCCATCACTGATCACTGATCGTATCACAATACTCATGAGTTTCACCTGTTTAGCAAACCACCACCACCACTGTAGTGCTGAAAATGATCTGTACCCAAATATTATCTGGTCAGTGGTGGTCCTGTGGTAATGAAAGGGGTAGAGGGCAGCTGATGCATTGCAGCAACAGATGTATCACAGTTAGTATCTGTAAACCCACAAAGTACATCTGTATAGTAGTTGTACCTGATAAAATGAGTGTATGTAATCATAATTAATAAACTGTATTGATTTGTTTGCTGTGAAGCTTATCACACTTTATCTTACACTTGCTAGTGTTTATCTGACCTAAGTGTAAATTTTTGCTGTTCTAATGCTAAATAATGAATTGAGCCTTCATGGAACTACTTAAAGGAAATAAGGTGAAAGGAATGCATTGTTTTTATGAGAGCGTAAGATTCAATTGTAGTCATGTGATAATTTGGAAACTAAAACCTTTTAGTTTCACTTAATGATGAATTTTGTTAAGTTACCTTAGACTAATCTTAAGAACAATATTTAACCCACTTACTTCATTATATATTATTTCCTTTTGTGTAGAAGGTTGTGGTTAACCAATCCAAAAAAGCAGAAACACGAAAATATAGTCCTTTAGCTCACATTTTTTTTAAAAAAAAGTAAGATGTTAAGATGATTAAGATGAATGTTAGATTCATAACAAATTACATTTCGGATTCAGATACTCACTGCGAGTTTGTCCTAGGATGCTCTGTGTTACCCTGTTATTAGCCTGTTCACACAACAAAAAACTGATGAGAGTTTCACTCTTGTGGTTAGTCCTGCTTTAGACTCTAAAGAACCTAAAGAGGAGGTGTAGCACACTTGTTCTTACCACTCTCTCTCTCTCTCTCTCTCGCTCTCTCTCTCTCACACACCCACACACACATACTTTTTTCAACTAGCTAGTGCTAGTTGAACCAGTCACTCTGCTTAAGAGGACACTTGCCCTTTTAAGTATTTTTCCAAACTGGTGTTAAATATTATTTTCCTTTATTTGCTTTTATTAACTTTGTAACTTCTCTTGAACCTTCTTTGCATTTTGTATGTCTCTCTTGGGTGATATACATATAATGACCTTCAATGGTTAGCCTATGTTGCATCTGGTCTATATCTGGTCTATATCTGGTATCTATAGCTCCCAAATCTAGCAATGCCATTTGTTGTAGGGATATCTCTGAGACATCCTGGCTCCTAGATGGGGGAGACTTTAAATTCCTGGGTAGGCCTCAACACCTCTATTGTAATTACAAAGGTAGAGGCAGTCACCCATCAAGTAGGTGGGTTCTGGGTCATTTACACAAAAGGACCACAAGAAGTTGTGGTTTACATGGTTGACTATTTAAGTCTATCTTATTGTAAGCTTAGTTAGACTTGCTTGGTACAAGACTGCGCACATTAAAAACTTCTTCTCTACTTGACAAAGTCTCCACTCCTTTTCTTCAAGAAATCAAGAACAGGAGTGGAGAATGAGTTCCTTTTTCTTGTTTGAAAGCTCAATCACATAATGTAGAAAGTCTTGAATGGCACAAATTTAGTCCACAGGACTATAAAGACTGATTTTAGTTAATGCCACTTAATGAGTAACTCTTTGCCAGCAGAAGTCAACACTGGGCCTGTATGCTTTGACGTTGGCAGTTAATTTCAGTGAGTTAAGCTTGTATGTGACACAAGATGTATGTAAGTGTAGTAACTGCAAGATTATTAAACAAACATTAAAGAATGCCAGCAGACAGGAACTTTGCTTTCACACAAACACCTACTCACTGATTATTTATGATGCTTTTGTCACTGACTATTCCAGTTGAATAAGTTTTGTTATGTACATTTTTTCTCAATTGTTTACATGCATTTCTTGAAACACTAATCTCATTCTCAGCATTCTATATACAGTTCTCAAAACAGCAAAAGCACTTCTCACAACACTTTATCACCTGTGCAAACTAAAACAAACAAAACATTAGCCACACAAAGTCAGTTCATCATGACAACCCTGCCACCAGATGGAGAGCACTCTTTGATAATTGTGTGAATTTGCAAAGCACATTCTTTCATGTCAGCAATCCTCAGATGTAATGTCTGAACTGAAACTGAAATATATAAACTGTAGTATATGATTCTGTTATCTTTACACATATAAAGAAAAAAGGGTGTTAAAATGAGAAACCAAGTGATGCAATATATAGCACATAAAATAGTTTGTAACAAATGTCAACATTTTTCATTGATAATGTATAAAGGTAACTACTATCACAGGGAAAATGTGTGTATGTAGCTGTTGTACCCTGACTGCCTACAGCCCATTCAGCCAATATAAAGTTGTGGTGCAGCAGGTTTCTTTCCAGAACTGTTTACTACATTCTGTCCATATGGATACACACACACACACACATATATATATATATATATATATATATATATATATAGATATATATATATATATATATATATTATATGCCCTTTCTGGTCATGTAAAGTATACATACTGACTAATAGCTTAAATGGTACTATGTAATTACATGTAAATACATGCAGAATATTTATATATTCTTTCACCATCAGAAATCATCATACACACCACTCTGTTGTTCAGACCTTGGTCCATTTATTGTGTGTATTTGTGTATGCTAACATTTTCTTTAGGCAGTCAGCATAATTTAGAATTAATACTTAGATATATAAAATATTCCACAACTACTGATAGACTTTAAGTAGAAACGAATCATGCCTTACTTTTGCATCATTATCATCTATTGAACATAATTACACTTTTTAAAAAAAGGCTTAGTTCAGTGAATTTAATCTGATTTAAAATGAAAAACAAGCATATCTTAATAACACATCACTACCATCTGTGGACAATAGACCTAACTGTTAAACAAATGGCAATTTTAAATACTGCAATGCAGATGAAAGTACACAGGAACAAGAGCATCAACTAATTCAATAAGAACCTTTCTTACTGCATTTCTTGTGCCATATTACAGGCAAAACACATGTTACAGCTCTTAGCAATCTCTTAACAGATCCGGTATGATCTGCATTTTTAATTATTGATATATATATATATTAATTAATTATATTTGAAAAATATAATGAGTTTCTTTTTCTTGTTTGAAAGCTCAATCACATAATGTAGAAAGTCTTGAATGGCACAAATTTAGTCCACAGGACTATAAAGACTGATTTCAGTTAATGCCACTTAATGAGTAATATTCACTGAACAATTAAATGTGGTTGTAGCTCTGGGACATAAAGAAAGAAGAAAATGCACCAATGCAAGTGCAAGGGGTTTCACTGTGTGCAACAGGTCATCAACAAGTAATTGTTTTCTTTCTCTGCTGAGCTAGTGCTTAAAAAGAATAAACCAAAAATGTTAACTGGTGTATCAAAGGATTAAAGCAAGCTGACCATTCACATTTTTCTTTTTAAACATTTTTTTCTGCTAACAGGGGACTGCTTTCACTTTTTTTCACATCAAACCTTTTTGGTAGAACTATTGCTTTAATAGCACTTATTTTTTATGCATAAAACAACAGTATTACCCAAGAAACATTCTTTAAGAATGTAAGAATCATTCTTCATTTTCCTACAATCTTCAGATAAAATGGATTATGTCAGCTTTAGCAAGAATAGCATCATTAAATGCAAGTGACTTTGACCTTTTTGAGTTTCATCCATCAAAATGCACAGCTAAAATACTATGTCCACTTGTTTTAGGTTGAGGCTTTCCTAAAATATGCATACTGGACGTGCTGCTCTGCATAGCATAGCGTCACATAGTGTCATGCAGCAGCGCTCTGCAATAGAATGGCTGGCAGGGAGAACCAATAATCATCAGGTTCAACTCTACTCCTAAAAATGTAATGAAATAAAGCTTTCAACATCACAGATCATGCTTGGCATCAGTTAACTACCTCTTCACAAACCAGCTATTTTCAAGCTGAAATATACAAGCTGAACATCTGAAACTTACCATTTCATTTATCTGATTACCTAAATGACTGGTTGCCTTTCTCTGTGTGCATTTCAAGCCACATGTAATGTACTATAGCTTTAATTTAATCTGGTTATGGTAAAATGCTGCATGGCGCACTATGACACACTGAGTAATTGAACAGTGCTCTGAGTCGCTAAGCGCTGGCAGATGTTGTCCAGAATGTCACACCCAAATCCATTCAAAATAATGGTTTCCAAATTTTTGTCTTGGTACAACTTTTTTGTTTAACCCTTTAATGTCTTATTACATACTTATTATTCAGTAACTACATGGACTTCAGTGCAAACTGGTTAAGCTATTCTTAGGTTATAGAAGTGTGTAATAAATCTTTAGGTCCACCAGTGGGCCCATTGCATTTAAGGGGATAACTGATCACAATCAATGAATAATTCCACATGCAATACAAATGCTAAATTTCTAAAATTTAAATTGAAAATCGGTTGTATTCCTGGATAGTTGGTGGGTTACATCTCTAGGCAGCTGCATGACCCTTTCCTTGAGGCTCATACAAGATCAGGTGTAGAAGCTGTAAAGCAGAGAATAAAGAAAACAATCAGCAGTGTAAGTATTACTCATAATGTCGACAATTACATCTCCTGTTACAATCAGAAAAGTCTTGGAAAGTTGGAAATGCATAATTACAAAAAACAAAATTAGCTGTTGCAACTATCAAAATGCACTTGTGAAATTACATGAATAAAAACTGAAGTTGATACTTGTCTATTTGTATAAGTTACACTGTAATCCATCTATAATAGTTTATCACAAGCTTGTTTGCCATTGTTGTTACATGCATTGTTAACATGTAATTACACAGTTTAGAGAATCCATTATTATAATGGGTCCAAACAGAATATAAACTTTTATATATGTTTCTATGGTTTTTGTGTTTTTTGTTTTTTTTTTGGCTGACATCAAATTAAAATAAAAAAGATGAACATGCAGACTCAAGCATGTCAGTGCAGAATGTATATTAATGTAACTGTGAATAAATCATGAATTCTGTAGCTGTCAATGCAATTAATCATGAAACTGTGCAATTATATATAAATAATAGAGAAAAACAAAAAAAAACTTTTGACTTATGACAGTTAACACAACAGACATGAGCAAAATGCATCCTGTTTAGCATCAAGAAATTAAGGTAGGTTAATGTACTATCTACTACAATCATACACATGTGTTCTGAGCTTTTATATGCAATGTGATCATGGTTAAGTGATAAATATAAAAATTACTATTTTGTCTTACATAGCCTTCAACATAACATTCAATGGCAAGTTAGTGGTTGTGTAAGTGAAACAATTAATTAATTAATGAAACTTTATTTAATGAACTTTACTCTAGTTTCTTCAGTTTGTAGTGTGGATCCTCCAGTAGAGCAGAGAGTAGCTTCACTCCTGACTCTCCAGGATTATTGTGGTCCAGGTCCAACTCTCTCAGGTGAGAGGGATTTGATTTCAAAGCTGAAGCCAGAGCAGTACAGCCTTCTTCTGTAATATTGCAGTTAAATAGCCTGTAAAGAGAATGCATACTATTTCAGAAAACAAAATGCAGTAAAATAATTTGTTACAAATATATGAAAATTTAACATGACAGTGTGACATTTCGCTGATACAAAAAGTGGGTCTCTGTCAGCACAAGCAGTTTAGTGTGGACAACAAGCACTACTGACTCTAGTTTCTCCAGTTTACAGTGTGGATCCTCCAGTAGAATAGAGAGCATCTTAATTCCAGCATCTCCTATTTGATTCATCCCCAGATTCAGCTCTCTCAGGTGTGAGGGGTTTGATTTCAGAGCTGGAGCCAGAACAACACAGCCTTCATGTGTTATGTTGCAGTTGCACAGCCTATAGAGAGAAGGCATGGATATATTAGTCAAATTGTTTGTACAAGTACTCTGTGTGTGTGTAGTTGCACAAAGACGATGAGAGTCATGATCTCACCCCAGTTTTTCCAGTTTACAGTGTGGATTCTGCAGTCCTTCACACAGCAGCTCCACTCCTAAATCCTGCAGATTATTATTGTCCAAGTTTAGCTCTTTTAGACTTGATGTGTCTGAGCTGAGAGTGAAACTCAGAGTTAAACAGCTCTTCTCTGTGAGCCTACAGCCACAAAGCCTGGGAAAGAAACAAAAGCAGAACATTTTCAACTCAAACAAGAAACTTACACATCTCAGATTCTCTCTTACATATACATGCTAAACATTTGCTTATACTGTGCTACTTAATTGAAAAATTTACTTAAGATTTTTAAAAAGTGAACTATTCTTATTGGGTCCATTTCACAGACAGGGATTTAGCCTGGTGCTGAACTACATTGGTTTCTGAATAGAGATCCTCCATTGAACACAAAAATCAAATCCAGGACTAGACATAATCGCTGACCAGCATATTGTTCCACAATGCTTGTGAACATAATGTGTAAAAAATATAGTCTTACCTCAATATCTCTAGTTTGCAGTGTGGATTCTCCAGTCCTGATGAGAGCAGCTTCACTCCTGAATCCTGCAGATTATTTGTACTCAGGTCTAGTTCTTTCAGATTTGAGGAGTTTGAGCTGAGAACTGACGCCAGACCTGCACAGCTTTTCTCTGTGAGATTACAACCATTCAGGCTGTCAAAGAAATATTAAAATGTTAGACAAGATAATGACACTATTGAACAACCTGCATGATTAATTGCAACAAGTAAATATCACCTAAGACATGTATAAAATATTAATAATTATATAATTTACATAGTTATATAAAATTAATTATTATAAGTAATATTATTTATTAAAGCTCTCAGAGAAAAAAAGGCTTGTGTTTGTGGATCTGGCATTCTTGCATTTTCTCCACACTGAAATGCAGTATCTATTTTACTGATTTTGTCAGAAGTTTAGCCAAAAATAGTGTAGTGATTCTGCTCTGCACAGTTTTCAGTGTCAGATCTTGATTGTTAACTGACATGAAAAATCAGGTGTGCTTTGGCATTCTGTCAGTTGCCATGGAATACCTGAAATTGCATTGGTCAAGTGCAAAGGAGGTCTGGGGAATATATTGTCTGTACCACTATCCTGTAATATTGATATATGTTGTTATTTGCTGATGCATGTAGAAAATTTAATATATATGACATTTCCTGTCTGGAAATACGGGTAGCATCTATTTAATGTTTGAAATATGAATATGGCCTTTACTGTAATTTACAAAAATGTAAACAGTGCAAACAGTCCAACCAACCATATTTACAGTACAAGACGTTACATTAGCATGGAGAAAGCATGGGTTCATTAACTTTAATCATAACTTAATTATCATTTCATACTGTAATATATTTGGAAAAAATATAATGGTATTTAATTTTATTAACAATACACTCTGAATTATCTTCTGGTACATCCATGCATTTCAAATGTCTCTTATCTAAGTTTTCTATTCTAATATGAACTTATTTTCGGAGTTTTATGAAAATAAAATATTTTTTCATATACTCACATTGCCTTCCTGGACGCTTTGACCACCGGAAGCAGTTTCAGGAAACATTCCTCTGATGGATCATAATAACTAAGGTTGAATTCCTCCAGCTCATCTTCTGAGTTCAGCAACACAAAAACCAAAGCTGACCACTGAGCTGGAGACAGGCTGACTGTGGTAAGATGATTTTTACCACTTTTATTCAAGTACATTTGGACTTCTTGCACTAGGGAATGGTCCTTCAGTTCATTCAGACAGTGGAACAGATTAACAGATTTCTCTGGAAATGGGGTTTCCTTGATCATTCTCTTGATGTATTTAACTGTTTCATCTTGGTGCGTGCTGCTTCCTGTCTGTATCAGCAGGCTTTGCAAGAGAGTCTGGTTGGACTCCAGTGAGAGACCCAGAAGGAAACGGAGGAAAAGGTCCAGGTGTCCATTCTCACTTTGTAAGGTCTTGTCCACTGCACTCTTGAGAAAATCAGACATTGTTGGCTTGTGAATGGAAGTAACAAATCCAGGAAATTGTTTTTCAAACTCTTTCCTGCTACTGGTGATGAATAACATGAACACGTATAAGGCAGCAAGAAACTCCTGAACACTCAGATGCACAAAACTGTATATCTTCCCCAGTTGCAGCCCCAACTCCTCTCTGAAGATTTGTGTACACACTCCTGAGTACACTGTCACTTCTCTGACATCAATGCCACACTCTCTCAGATCTTCCTCATAAAACATCAAGTTGCCTTTTTCCAGCTGTTGAAAAGCAAGTTTTCCCAATGCCAGAATATTCTCTTTAATTTGATCTGAATCAGGTTTCAGTGTTCCATGATATTTCTGACTCCACTGGGTGGTTTCAAAGATCAGGAAATGTGTGAACATTTGAGTCAGAGTCTTGGGGATCTCTTGCTTCTTTGCTTGACTCAGCATTCTCTCTAGAACAGTGGCTGCAATCCAACAAAAGACCGGTATGTGGCACATGATGTAGAGGCATCTTGATGACTTTATGTGTGTGATGATTCTGTTGGCCAGGCTCCGGTCACTGATCCTTTTCCTGAAGTAGTCTTCCTTCTGAATGTCATTGAACCCTCGTACCTCTGTTACCAGGTCAACACATTCAGGAGGGATCTGACCACATGCTGCTGGTCGAGAGGTTATCCAGAGAAGAGCAGAAGGAAGCAGATTCCCACTGATGAGGTTTGTTAGCAGCACATCCACTGAGCTTCTCTTTGTAATGTCACACACTCTTTCATTGTTTTGGAAATCTAGAGGAAGCCGACACTCATCCAGACCATCAAAGATGAGCAAGACTTTATAGGAATCACAGCCTATTAATGCCAACTCAGCCATTTCGGAGAAAAATTGATGAAGAAGATCCTTCAGACTAAATGTTTTCCCTTTGAATAAATTTAATTCCCTAAAAGGAAGTGGAAATATGAAGTGGACATCCTGATTTGCTTTTCCTTCTGACCAGTCCAGAATGAACTTCTGCACTGAGACTGTTTTTCCAATTCCTGCAACTCCTTTAGTCAGTACAGTTCTGATCGGCTTATCTTGACCAGGTAAGGGGCTAAAGATGGCATTCAATCTTATAGCTGCTTCTTGTGTTACTCTTTTCCTGGATATCTCCTCAATCTGCTTCATTTCATGTTCATTATTGTCTTCTCCATACCCATCCTCAGTGATATAGAGCTCTGTGTAGATCTCATTCAGTGTTGAATTTTGTTGCTTTGCAGTTCCCTCTTTAATGCTCTGAAATGTCTTTTTAAGTTTTGACTTCAGTTTTCGCTGATAAAAAGGTGCCATTTCTGCAAAGAAAAATTAGATTTCTGCATTTGCAAGATTTGTCAACACATCATTCTTTTGGGCTGCATGTGATTTATTTGTATATTTTCACTAATCAACATTTTAAAGGTACAAATTCACAATGTCTATGAGCAGCTTCATACATGTTCACATTTACTTGAATACTGAGGCCAACTGTCATCTTTAAGAAATGAACCATGTGACTCAAGATTCTTACTCGCTTGTAGAATAGTAGCCAGGTTTATCTGTTCCATTTTCTTCAGGACATGCAGTGTGATCTTCAGTGCTCCTTCTCTGACATCACTCTGATCCTCATCTTCCTTCATCTGTCGCTCAGAGCAATCTGGACTCAGCAGGTTCCTGAACCGCTTGAGCTCATTCTTCACCAGAGAGATGACTCTTAGCTCAACCTTCTGATCATGGATTAGTGACAAACGTAACATACATTCAATAACTATAATATTCAGGAACTGTTGTACTGCTAGTACTGTACAAACTATTATGATTAAACATAAACATAAAGCACCAGCACAGAATCAAACTAGTGAATATTTTACAGCATTAAACAGTAACATTAAAATGAAAATGATCTTGTTTTTGTTTGATATCATGCATACAAACCTTGAAAATGGAATCAATACTCTTGACTCTGGAAACTGCTGACCTCTTCAGTTGGATACTATGAGCATACAAATTAACTGATATGAGGTATTTATACATAAATACAAAATATATGTTTAAATATATAGTTTGATTTTTACATATTCAGTCTTCCTTTAGAGTCATTGTGACAATATGACAATATTATATTTTTATTTATAAGTATTAAATTATATAAATATTATACTAGTCAGTGCTTTGCTAGTTTAGCATGTAATTCAGCAAAACGCACAAGAGTCCATTGAAAGTCTATGCTTTAAGCAATGAAATATTATAACCATTTACACAAGTACATTGTCAGTATTTTTTGGTAAAAAGTACTGCATCAAGCATGGAAAATGGTTTCCCTTGTTAATATAAGTGATTATTATGTGATATAACAGAAGTGTCATGAGGAAACATTTCATTTTGTTAAATGTTTCTAAATTGCTTTTACCTTGAATCACTTTCAGGGTCTCTGTTTGAATAGTCCATAGAGTGACCACTCATCATAGATGCACGACTGAATGTTAATCTCTTTTTTTGACTTAGACTGGAAACACATAAGCAGGAATAAATATGATTAATCAGGATGTAAAAGATGTACAATCCCATTCAACAGACATAGAAGAAGCAAAACAGCCTCAGATATGTTCAAAGTCAGGATTTTTTTCCATTATTTGGTGTGTTCTTCAATGAATTTTACAGGAATACTTTTTCCCCATCTCTAAAGTTAGGCTTCCTGATCAGTACACATCCTTTCAGACCCATAGCATTGTGACTTGTCCTCCAGTTTTGACTGGAAATTAAACAGGTTAATGGTGGTCTCTGACTCTTGCAAAGTACTGTACTTAATCTAAGCTATTTTTACCTCAAGTCAGCAGTGGTGTCTCCTCTGTAACTGTCTGAATCTTCAATGAATTGTTCGCTCATCATGGATAAATGTGACTCGGGTCTCTCTCTGTTAATCCATCTATGATAAACAGTGTGTAAAAACAGTTTAAAAAAAAGCTAATTTGCAATGAAAGGTTAATAATGCTCGTGGTCACTGACACAACTAACGTGCATTGATTCATGGCCATATTAACACCAAATGGTTTAAGAATTCAAAAATAAAGTTAATTGTTTTTATTTTAATGAAATCCTCTATCAGTTACCTCAGGTTAATATGAGAATCTCTTTCTCTGAAGTTGAATGGAATATCCATAGACTGTTCACTCCTCATAGATAAACTAATGGGTGTAGATGAATCTGATCTCTTTCTGTGAACCAGACCAGACAACATGGTGTGAAAGGGACTGTAGGTAACAACTATGGAGTTCTCCTTAGGTTATCAGTGTAATCTTAGTGTACATATTTTTTACCTCAGGTTAGTGAAAGTGTTTTCCTCTTCAAGGTTGTCTTCTTCATCCACAGATAGCTCACTCCTCATGGATAAATAGGATTCTGGTCTCTGTCTATGAATCAGACTATAAAGCACAATGCTTAAAAGTGACAGTAAGGGACTGCTAAAAATCCTAATGCAGCTAGCGGTGGATGAAAGTTAATATTGCTATGTTCAGTGAGCATGACGTAATGAAAACTGGCAACAATAGCCTCAATTCATTATTAGCCTTTCCTACATTTTACAGTCTAAATTAATTTTACACAGTCCATTTTTTTCATTTAGAACATAAAGACTACATGTACCTTGGATCAACCTGAGCATCTCTTTCTTTGAAGCTGCATGGGTGATCCATAGACTCACCCCTCATAGTCACACAGATGGGTGTAGATGAATCTGAAATCTTTCTGTTAATAAAATGAGGAAACACATTGCTTAAAAATGACAGCAGTTAACAACTGAGAAGTTCATCTTGTTACTTTTAAGACTTTTTACTTCAAACCAGGGTCTTCTCTGTGGTTGTGGGGGTCACACATTGGTTCCTCATCTATGGCATCTTTGAACAGCTCATTCAGTTTACTAAGAAAGAACAGTGGACAATTATTTTTCCCATAATCTTTTTCTTTTCTCAATATTTCAGAATGACATTAATGAGTTTTAAATAAAAAATAACAATAACAGCTAATGTATAATGGAAAACATATTTTCATGCTATACTTTTAATGTAAGTCAATGGAACAAGACCTTTTCCTTTAGTCCATTGATCACGAAATTTACACACAATGTAATGGGCAACAAGCACTTTCAAATAATGTAAAAAACTGAAGAACAATGTACATGTATGCCTTATTTGGGCTCTATGTTTAATGTCTCTAAATACATGATTGACATAATTTTTTTGCTTTATATTTAACCATTTTTCCCCGTTTAAAGGGACAGCGAGGTAAACATAAAATTTACATGAGGATATGATATACACATTTTGTACGCATCAGTGTTATTTAGGTTTAATTTGACCCCAGGCTGTTTTAGCTATATAAAACATAAAAATAATAAATTTTACATACATTTGTTTTAGTTGTTTTGGATGAATATGAGGTTACTAACATGTAACATTCTAATCTTCTGTTTTAGGGCCCTAAACTAGCATAATCATACCTGTAGTTGTGCAAGAACTACTGATAATTCACAAGACGTGGGGGAGGGGGGGCAGAATTCGTACCAGAACTTTGATGTTTTGATGAGGTTTTAATTGCTGGTCAGATTAATAATAATAATAATAATAATAATAATAATAATAATTTTATTTATATAGCACGTTTTGTGACGATTACAGCTTAAAGTGCTTTCAGAATTTCTAAGTATTTGGTATAGTAGGTCCCTCTTTTGCTTTAATGACACACGAGCTGCCATAAACTCAGTTTGGGCAAAAGCCTCTTATGAGCAAATCAACTCCACCTAAGTTGTCTGAGCATGTGCTTCAATGGAAGAGATATGACTAAAAAACTTCTGTACAAAGGTCAACGTCTTTGTGCTTAAATTTAAATGACGGCCTCGAAAATAGCCCAACATCATGAACATTTCTTCGTCATTTACCTTCTCGTGACACTGCATTGTTAGATTTTTTTTTCTGGAATTTTTTTCAGAAATTTTCTGTTGTTTATTTATATGTTTAAATTAAAAAAATAATTTAATATAAAAAAGTTTTTCACAGTGGCCTCAGACTTTTGGACCCCAAAAATTCTTGTTATTTTTTATGGCATTCATATTTGTTTCTGTCTGTTTTTTAAATCTTTTGTCTGTATTCACTTAATTGCTTTTTGCACAATATATATTGACAACTACATTTCAGCCTACAGCCTTAATCTCAGTGTATTTTTTTTAAATCCCCATTTGTTTATAGGTATTGTAAATGTAAGAAAGTTTGAGAAGAAATCACTGTCAACAGATGCAATTTTGGACACACACTTTTGCAAGTGTACACACAATAACTTCTGTTACCTCTTAAATTTGTGAGGAATGTCCTCTTCAGACGCATTCACCAACGAGGTCATTGCGTTTGCAAAAGTAGACAACAACAAATCTGTAAATATGCAAAAACACCAGCTATTTATGTGACGAGCATAGTCTAGAAATGAGGAAATAACATCATTCTTCATAAACGTATACAAATTAAAAACCTATACACACTTTTTACCACCTGAATCTTCCCCAGACCCTACAATGTTAACAGATACTAGTGATTTCTTTCTTTCAGATGCAAATACTCACTGTGCTTTTTCTCCTAATGTTGTTTATAGTCCTCTCTCTCGAAATGGAGCGAGTCTGAACCTATGTTTGAATACTTTCCGACTATAAACTGGTTTGTCCTGCTCTCCCGGGGTTTTATGGGTGGTGGAGACCTGTAGTTAAGGCAAAAGATAACACAAACCGGATATGCTGCAAAGCTGAATTAACTGGGCTAACATAGTGCTTAGCATTGGTCTTCTCAGTTCTAATCCATAATTTCAGATTTCTTGCACACATACAGATTCAGAAAAATAACTTGACTATTGGAGACAACCATTTATCTGTTCTTCACAGATGGAAGCAAAAAAGAAAAAGATTCCTCATGAACTGTCTCCTCCTGCAGCTGGCTCAACTTTGCCAGACTCTTTCCTGTTGGCATCAGAGTATGTTTTGTCTGTTGATGAACTTAATTAATACACAGTGGAGTGGAATTTTTGCACATTGCCATATGCTAATGTCTGACTATTGGAGACCACCATTTGTCATGTTCACTTGAAATTTCACTTGAATGTTCATGTTCACTTGAAATTTCTAATAGCATCATGCGGCTATTAACTTTCAAGCACAGAATTACTTTCTGCTAATCAATATATGTGCATAATTCATGATTCCAGAGCAGAAACTGGTGGTGCTTTGATTTGTTTTAGTTAAAGAGGTAAGGCAGTTCTGCATAGTTTCCCATTGTAGTAATGCAAGCTACAGAAGTTAATGTTAATGTAAGTTCTAAAAATAGTTACTACTTGTTGGACTGGAAATTTTGTACTGGACGTGTCTCAGTGCTTGGAATTCACAAGCATCTATTTTAGACACCTGGCACCTTTCACTCTGTCCTGGCATTATGTGGAACAACATGTATTTTGTATTTTACTGGGCAGAACCTTATATCCTCTCAGGCTATTAATTAATCTACCCCACTCCTCATTACTCTATGCTAAACATGACCATGTTTTGTTAATCTTGTTTAATGTTTATAACAATAGCTCCATAACACTGTATTTTAGTTCCTTTCCTCCTGCATACAGACATGTATAATATTCAGTGTTTAATTTATGGTAGAAAGTCTTAAAATCAGAGAAAGCAGCTGATGACTAGAGTTAGGGGCTTTTGCAGGACATGCAATTGTATCTGTCAAAAACATATTGCTTATTTGTTGTAGGCTGTTTGTGGTGCAGATATATTTATTCAAACTTATTCAGTGTTGTGTAAAAAACAGCACAGATTTGACCACCTTTAATGATATACTAACTACGTGGCATCTGATTCATGAAACATATCATTGCAAGCAAAGATTTGAGCAAAGTGATGAATCAGCTTTAGCACATGAAATCAAGAACCAGCCTACCAGCACCTCATTTAAATATCCATGAAGCACGCCCTTCAGGCAGATGTTTCTGTATTGAGCCAATAAAATGTTTCTGTAGGAAGCCAAAAAAACGAAAGCATTCAGCAGGTCTTGAGCTATTGATTGTGCTACTGACAAAATTGTATAGTGTTAAAATTCTGACAATTGGAACAAATAGCATGTGAAATGGTACCATAACATATGATGTAGTGTGATTATTTTCCTCAAATATTTAAATACTGTATTATTTCAGTATATGAGAGACTTCTGCTCTAGCTTTGTTTTGCATTGTTTATTTTTTGTATTTATGTCTTTAAATGGACCATGGAACATTTGTTTATCCGAATGGGCATGTAGTATATACATTATAGGTATTATAGATGAAGTTGATAATAGTTTGGGTTAATTAACTCCAAGCATTTAAACTATTATGCTCACATTTATGTGCACTCCTACCAGAAATTTGATTGTACAGATAAGCCAAAGATGAAACCGATGAAAAGCAAAAAAAGACGTGAACTTTGCATGCACTTAATTCACGATCAGACTTGATAGTACACAACCTTGATGAATAAGTGGGAGTAAGAAACATGAATAGCTGTAAACAAACGCTCCTGGTGATTGCTGTTCTTCACAGATGGAAGCAGAAAAAAAACAGATTCTTAATGAACTGTCTTCATAGTCATTTAAAGTTAGACTGAATGTATTTAAATGTGAACTGTTCTTAATCCTACAAACTGAATTGCATAGCTATAGATTTGAGTTGACTACAGTCACTTGTTTCACCTGCAGCTTGCTCAACTTTGTCAGACTCTTTCCTGTTGGCGTCAGGAAAGACGCGATGAACTTAATTAATGGACAGTGGTGTCAAATTTTGGCATATTGCCATATGCTAATGTCTGAAGTCAGTGCATTGTTCTTATTGAAATCAACGAAAGTATACAAAATGTCTTTGAGGACACGCCTATAGGGTTCAGTTCTCTGCTCAGATTACACTACAACACACAAAATGTCAGTCTGAGCTGAACTGGTTTGTCTGGCTTAGGATTTCATGTGGGGCTGTAGGAGGCTAAGATTTAAAGGTAAAGCGACTTTTTAAAAGTCAATGGAAAGTGAAAATACTTAAAATTGTGAATGCTTTTTTATCAGGTAAATGCAATTCATACACATAAAATACATTTCATGGAACAACATTCACAAGTGTATATGCTAAACATGCTGCCTTACAAACACAGGCGGTAACACTTTGTTTGGATAGTCCGCTTTTAGACACTCTACAAACAATCAACAAACAATCTACAGACTGTCAACAACCTGTCAGTTGACAGTTATCAACCAGTTTATCAATTGATTCTCAACATCATGTGAATAGATATTTATCTGTGTTTCAACAGACGCATCATTATCAACTAAGAATGCAAGAAATTTTAATATGACTGTCACCAAAGTATCTACAGACTGCAGGGTACATATCAACAACTGCTCAATTCATTTATATTTATTTAGGTACAGTTATGTTGCAATATCAACCAAATATCAGTAGGCATTCAACTAAATATCAACTGTCAACAAACATGTAAGTAGGTCCCTGTTTCTATTCATGTGTGATACATAATGTCACAATGATCATTTCTACCATATTACCTGACTACTTACTGAATTCTACATATATCAGTTGGACTAGCAAAGCTTTGATAGCACTAGAAACAAGTTGATAGTCTATAGAATATCTACTACACATCTACAGCTACAGACTGGACTATCCAAATAAGGTGAAAGCTTAAATGGACAAGTTGATAGTCTATAGACTATCTACTAAACATCTACAGCTACAGACTGGACTATCCAAATAAAGTGAAAGCTTAAATGGACAAGTTGATAGTTTATAGACTACAAAAGTTAACACATCCTCTACTGAGTATATCTTTTTATTCATTTTAATACACTATTACTGTTTATTTACTGAAACATACATTTAAAATGTGGCCAGTGCAAAAGTCATCAATTTACATTTTATGTTTTGTTTCTTCCAATATGTTAAACTAACAGTTGTACACTAAAATTCATGGACAAATGCCATATGTACATTTATGATGTAGAAGATGTGTTGTCCTGTTTAAGTCATAGTCTATAATTATGTCTAACTAATGCACTGTTCAGGTAATGAACCATAATGTTTTTTTTTTTCACATGTTGGGTGAACTAAGGAGATTCTGGTTGCTCAGGTGTTCCATATTCCCTTAATTGTAAACACACACGATCTGTGAATGAGTAGTTATGATTGTCGTCACTGGAGTTAGCAGTGTCGTGGCAGCAGAATGAACTCTAAAGTGCACAAACACCTTGTCCAAACACTAAACATACCTTTCGTTTGTGACAGAATTTGCTTTCGTCGAAATGAATCACAATGTCAGCACCACCAACTCTCTGGCCCCTTGCTTTCCTGTATCTTTTCAGGCTTCTCACACAAATTTCACAAATTTTTTGGACATGCTGCATAGTGTTGCACTGCTTTTTGACAGTCTGTCTTGTAGCATGTCGACCTGTCTCATAGTCAGCCCCTGTGAAAACCTATGTTACAAATAAACAAAAAAATAACATGCTAAGTATCAATATTTTGATCATAGTATGTGTACATTCCCTTGTTTTCCAAGTCCTTATGTAAAGCTGAATAGACAGCCACTGTGCATACATTATTTGAGTCGATATTACCTGCTTAAAACATCTACAGAAAAGTATTTTCATATATGTTATTTTTTTTACATTCACGTCATTCACGTATCATTTAATGACACCCTACATACACTGTAAAAACTAAAGGACAGGTCGACTTTAAATCAGAAAATGACTATCACAGCTTTTTTGAGGGTTTGCCTAACTCAAACTTAGTCATTTACTAGTTCACATTTTAGTACTGCTTCTGTTAGATAAGCAATACAGGTTTAGCTGGAAATGCTAAATAGGTGAAGTGAATATGGTTTCTTCGTTATAAACTCAAATGTTTAAATCCTTTTTTTAATTCAGCTTTTCATTTCAATTTGTTTTATTTCTTTCTTTATTATATCTTGTGTTCTACTTTCCGGTATATGAATTGCATCATGGTGAAAAGACTGGAATGTGACCTCGAAAAAACTCTTCCTGTTCTAACACCTCTCCTGGAACATACACGCCGTTTCCTCCTGCAACTCCTGTTACCAGAACAGTAACATTAACCTCCATTAGTCCTGACACTATTTTTTCATTACTAACTTAGAAAAGTGGCTACTACATTTAAATTAAAATGTTACTCTATTTATAACCATTAACTCTATTAGTCTGACTGTTTGCCTGTCTGACATGACCCTACATAGATGTCAGACTAGATATTCTTATTTTACAGCAGGACAGAACACAGGACACAGTATATAGTAGCATGACAGTATACATAATGGAATAAAATAGCACTCTAAACATATACACTTATGTCTCTGTCTTGGACTACTCTACTGATTTCTATTAGACTATGTTTTGTATTTTAATTAGAATAATGACTTACCAAATGTAATAATCCGTACATGGGTGTGGTAAGTTTAAATTCTTTCTGTCAATGTTGAGTAGTTATGTCAGATACTATGATTATTTGTTTGACATTAATAAGTAACTTATCCATTAGGAGCGGGGGTTCAACAGTTTATTGATTTCTGCAGTAAATCGTTTTGGATGGGATGGCAAAAAGTGCATGT